CAGTGGTAAAAAGGAAGCAAATAGCCAAAAATCACTATGGCTAGATACCATCAAAAGCAACACCATAAAACAATTGAAAACTGTACAAGATTGGAGAGAAAGGAAGAGAGAGAGGAGAGAGAGAGAGAGAGAGAGAGAGAGAGAAGGAGAGAGAGAGAAGGAGAGAGAGGGGGGAGGGGGGAGCAACAAAGATGGTTAGGGGACAGGAGGATAAAACATATGAAAAACACTTGCAGGAATTGGGCATGTCTACTTTAATGAAAAAAAGGAGTGACATGATAGCAGTGTTCATATATCTAAAGGGTTGCCACAAAGAAGAGAGGGTCAACCTATTTTCCAAAGCACCAGGACAAGAAGCAATGGATGGAAACTAATCAAGGAGAGAAACAACCTAAAACTAAGGAGAAATTTCCTGTCAGTGAGAACAATTAATCAGTGGTTTGCCTTCAGAAATTGTGTGTGCTCCATCACTAGAGATGTTTAAGAAGAAATTAGACAGCCATTTGTCTGAAATAGTATAAGGTTTCTGCTTGAACACAGGATTGAATTAGAAGACTTCCCAGGTCTTTTCCAATTCTGCTATTCTGACATAGTTTTCATTTCTGGTTTGAAATTATGAAAATTATGTTAATTGTTATTATGTTATAATTAATGAATTACTCGTTATGTTCTGTTGAGGGCCTATCTGCTTCTTTCCTGAGCTTCAAAATAAATAATCAGACCCGAAAAAAGAGACTGGACAACCATTTGTCTGAAACGACATAGGCTCTCCTGCTTGAATAGAGGGGTTGGACCGGAAGACTCGCTTTCCACTCTGTTATTCTGTTACAATCATCTACCACCCTACAGCTATGCCCTCTCCCTATTAACAATAATTATTACAAATATGGCTATGAGGATAGTATTTCTTATTTGTTTTATTCATACACACATCCCCAATTATCAATTGTGATCATAAATGTTATATTAATATCCATCTTTTCAACATAAATGCCTATTTTTATGGCTTTGGAGAAATATGAAAATTTTAAAAAGGCAAGGAAATAATTTTTAAAAGGCTGATGTTTGGAATGAATGTTCTCTTTTGCTAAAGTGAACATTATCTTTTTGCCTAGAGATCAGTAAAGGGAGAGGCCCGGCTCCAGAATTTCTTGACCCCAACTATTGCATTTATTTAAAATTTTATATATTATTAAACTTCTCAATGTCTCCTGGGCTTTGCAGTATTAAAGTTAAAATATCAATAAAAAGAAAAAGATAAAATTAATCAAAGAGATAAAACTATCATTGTTCCTAATATTTATAAGCCAAGTAACAGTTCTCTCAAATGAAATACTCTGGAGAACAGCTGTATCTTAACTTCCTTTTTAAAAAATCCACACAGAGGATGCTAGTTAAATCTCTTGTGTAGTCTTTTTCCTATGACCAAGTATCTCCCTACTGGTCTCCTCTCTCCTAAACTTCATACCTAGGGGAAATTCTTAATATTCTTAGATGACATGTGCAGTCAGAACTGGTTTGTTCTATTTAAAGAAGACTGTCCTGGAGATATCTGGAGTCAAGCCGAAAAGTACTTTATAGTTCAAAACCAACAATCTGAATTGTATTCAGAATCCTACTGGAAGCTAATTGAACATCCACAATATCAGAGTTAAGTAGCTATAGAGGACAAATCATTTCACACTAACTGTAACTTCAAAATAGCCTCCAAAGGCAGAACAAATGTAGAGTACATAATAGTAGTCTATCCTAGAGTTCATGAGGGCACAAGTTACTATTGTAAGGCATTCAATAGGAACTACCAACTAGTGTACAAACCAAAGCTTGATTGAACTAATTCAGACAAGTCGTGGAGATCAATATTTATTGAAACTGAATAGAATGATCTTTTCCATGTAGAAGAAAAGTGAAATGAATCCTGCAAACGTCAGAAGGAAGAGAACATTAATGCAAGCTCTCTTCACTCTCCCTGCTGACAGGGGGAGGAACTGAACCCTTCTTAACACTGTGTCTCCTTCTCCTACTTTTCACAAGCAATCCAGAAAGCTACCATGATTGATGGTATTAAGAGTAACTATGAGTTCTAAGAGGATCAGGAAGAACATACTCTCCCCGGCAAAAAAAATCAGGGTCACAATAAAACTTGACAAACATACTATGATTCATATCTTTTGGTGCAGCTTACCTAATTTCTCTTAATTGCCCTTAAACATCCAAAAACATTTTCTGTATGTTGACTGTTCTACACACATTTACTTAGAAGCAATTTCACTTATTTGTAAGGAAACCCCAAAATTTTATTTGCTGTTCAGTACCTGGATTATTGGAACTGAAACAATAAGACAAGGAAATTCCTGGAGAGGTACAATGTGGTCTTATTTGATTAAAACTGTATGCTTTCTGAAGATACACGGGGTCTTTTTGTATTTTGTTATGATGTTGCAGCACGGCTACTAATATGAACCAATACTATATTGAAATAGGATAATTATCTTTAGAGTATACCATTCCTAAGAGGAGCCCAAGTTGTGCCAACAAATTATATACAAATATTAAATTGACTTTCTAAATATTATCAGTTCTAGAAATTTTATCCTAATTTAACTTATTTTATATATTTAAAAAAAATATCAAGATGTAACCCAAAAATCTCATTGATTTCTGAGGAAACATATATAAGAGCATTGTATAAAAATGAACAATGAAAAAAAGCTTCCATAAAAATGCACTTTTAACTTTTTGGGAAGTAAATATGTTTTGTCTTTTCCTACTCCATCTCAATCAAGTATTTAAGATGGGACAGAACTGCACCCATACAAAAATAACATAAAATGACTGAATTGAATGCTACCAATAACCTGCTGCTCCAATTCAACGGGAAGACAGATAAATCCATTACAGAAGACCCATGGCAACAGGTTATACATGTTTTGCAATACCAAAACCTGTTTAATGAAGTTGAACTTCAAATACTACTATAAAACTTTATCCCTAGATAAAAAACACACCTGATGCATGTTAGCAATTTGCTATTTTATTATGTTCTGCCAGTGACTTACTTATTACAAACACATTTAGTGCGAATTTCTATTCTGCCTTTATAAAATCAGTAACTTTGCTACAACCCTTTCAATTCTTCAGAGGTGCTATGTAAGATTTTATTTAACATTTATAATTTTGGAGATATAGCTAAAGGAATAGATAAAAACAACAACAACCAGGGAGACAAAATAACTAACTAGTTCAGGAAGGAATTTCTGTTGGCTTCAGCAATAAATATAGCCCCCAGCAATTTTCTGAAAGCAATTATCTAATCTAAACATACACATAAAAGTGAAAATTAAAAAAGACAGGCTAACACATTTATTCAAGAAACACTTTCTAATGCATCAAACGCATGGGAGCCCAACTTAATCCATTCATAGACTAAACTTAAATGCCAAGTCTTGCAGTTCCTCCGCAGTGTAACCCTTACAAGGAGAAAGGGAAAGTCATGTAGAGATCAACAAATGTTAACTTGTTTCACCTTTTCTGCTCCTTCCACTCATTATAAATAAAGAGTTTGGCTTGCTCCTTCCCCTACAAAACACTTGACAAGCTACCAGTATTTTAAAAGTTTCTCACATCTGGGAACATGATCTCTGTTATCCTGTCATCTGATGACAAGGAAACAGCCACTGTGATCTCAGCCTCCAGGAATGTCTTCAGTTCCCCCTGAGTCTTTTAACTCAGAGTCATGTTTATCTCTATTAAAAATCACAGGAAAGATTTTTAGAGGTCACTTGATCCTGACAGCCCAATTTTCTCAACTAGTGAGCACTCTTTGAGCTGCCTCTCTGGCTTCTGAACATTAGACATTGCTCAAAAATTCTCAAATGTATCCTTAAAGACCGTGAGTCGTACTTTAAAAATGCATAAATAAAATTGGAAGGTGAGTTTCTTAGATAAACTATCATGAAACCTTGATTTAATTCACTCCTGTTTAGCAGATTTTGGATGTGACTAAAGCTCTATATAAATAGGCCACATCTTGCAAAAAAAAAAAAAAAACACACACACACACACAATTTTTTTTGCATCTCAAGAAGTATAAACAAGGCATTTAAATGTAGATAAATTTTACCTTAATTCTACAATATGCCTTACACTATGGCTTCATGACACAAATCAAATATAGTAAATACAATAAATCAAAGCTGTAACGCACTTTCAAATTTAATGAATATTTAGGTTTAACAGGTTTCCTCCACCCCAAATGGTCTGTTAAAATGTGGTTTCATTATAATACGTCCAATATCTTGATATTATACATTTTTAAATGTTTTTGCTGAGTATTTGACCCATGTTTGGACAACAATATCAAGGCCCAGGAAGGCAAATTCCAAATAATGTAACCTGTAAATATGACATCAGAGTCTTGATGTCAACACATGCGCAAACACTTGAGTTGCAAGTGCATGAACCTGCACATCAGCCCTCCACTTGCATGGCCCGGTTCCCCTCTTCCCCCCCCCCAGCTGGACTGCCAAGAAGATTACCTCTTTGATTCCAAAAGACCATTGTCTAATTCAGAGATCCCCAACCCCCAGGCTGCAGCCCACTACTGGGCCATGGCCTAATTGGAACTGGTCAGCGCAAGCAGCAGGCTGCAGCAAGCAAATGCATGCAGCTCAACATGAGTGCCAAGCAGGCTGGTGTGTGTGCACAGCTCAACTTGCGCAAGTTGAGTTGCAAGTACATGCATGTGCACGCCAGCCCACTGCTCCCGCATGCACATCAGCCCTCTGCTCGCACGGCCCAATTTCCCTCTCCCCCCCCCAGCTGGGCCGCCAAGACACAAAAATTGGGGACCGCTGGTCTAATTGCTACAATGTATGATGCATGCTTTACCAAACAGACCTCAAGTTTAATGATGAATCTTTCCAACTTTCTAATTCCTCAGAATAATTATTTCCAAAAGTGCAAATACCTGTATTTATGACAAACAAAAGTGCAAATACCTGTATTTATGAATGATGGCATTAAATAATCTCCCATCTCGCCAACAGGTAGTGAAGTTTTCACAACGAACTCCAGCATAACCTTCTGTTATCTGTTGCGTCCAAAGAAGCAATCGCTCTTTAGCAGACATATCCTCTGACTCTCCAGTAACATGGATATCAGAAATCTGTATGAAAATAGGATAAATCAGTCAAGTGAATACAGCATAAAATGATTAATAGCAATACAATCAGCCACACCTCATGTTTTCCCCACTCCACTAATATTAGAGTCGAGAAAATAACATTACTATTGAAGAGCTGAAATAACTCCAAGTTATTTGGGATAAAATCTCCAAATGGCACAGATACCTTTGCAAGATTTCCTCGAGAAAGCAGTTATACCTGGAAGAGTTAATGTTAAAAGGAAAGCAAACCACCAAAGCACATGATGGCTGGACACCATCAAAGCTGACCCAAGCCACAGCATAGAACAACTCAAAGAAGTAGTGCAAGATCAGAAGGCATGGAGACACCTGGCCCACAGAATCCCCAAGAATCGAACCCGATTGAATGGATAACATCATCATCTTCACCTTAGCAAGAAGCCTTGTAATGTAACAGAACTGAATCAAGAGCCTCCACTCTACTGTATAGGCATACTCTTCATTTAGTGACCAAGTTCTGTTCCAGGAACCAAGCCATTAAGGAAAATTGTTGTTAAGAAAACACAGCAAAGCTCAAGATACAGATGCTGCGAAGAACACAGGTTGCGGCTGTCTCATTCAGATAAAGTTAAGTTATTCTCTATTGTTACTCCGACTCTGGCATGCATTGTTGTCAGATGCACCAAATTTGGTCAGAAAATGAATTTTTTAATCACAGTTTATTAGTGCTGTATTTGCAAACAGTCACTAACTGAGATGGTCACTAAACGAGGAATGGTGTAGTACGGAAATGTATTAATTCAAGTCTATTCCTGGGTGGATAGTCACTAGGAGTCAAATGGTATATGCATTTTTATTATTATCAACAGATGGCCCCTAAGCTGATGTTTCCATCAGATGGAAAGCACAATGAAATCCCCCTATTTTTTGTCACCTAATTTAAGAGCACAATTAAGATAAAATACATTAGGGCATAAGAACAAATAATAACAAGGAGCAGTAGGCCTAAAGAATGTACTGGAACATTATCTTGTGAGAGCAAGGCAATTGGAACAGTGCCAACAATATATGATAACATGAAGTAGAAAAATATTTTTGGGTAGTAATTTCCTGTCTTTTTAGAAAACCAGAGTGAACCACTCCACCCACCCCTCAAGTTTTTATAGCATCTTTTGATGATAGCGTAAGAACACCATTATTTTCAATGGTTCAAATGAAGTCCTTTGAAGATGAAAGAAAAGGGGATTCTGAAATATGTAGCTAAGAAATAGGTCATTTGTCTGTAGAGATTTTACTGCTTTAAAATATTCAGGAGGATTTCTCATTGGAAAAAATAGGATCACTTCAAAGCTTTCAGCCTGCAGCGGCTAACAGAACAGGAGAAAAATTACATTAAAATGTTTTTTTAAGGTTTTAATTTTTTATCTGCTAAGTGACAGCACTTAGAAGACTACAACTGATCTCCAATAGATTAGGTTAGTGTTTAGGTGGAAGATTACTAGGAAAGTTAGGATTGAAGGCTAGATGGACAAATTGTAATAGCAGCCCTCCAAAAGACAAGGACAAATCATTTCTGTTCTGATGCCAAGAAAGTTGCATGACTAAGTTATGAGAAGTCAAACTTCCCTTAAAGATGATTTACTTTTACCTTTATGTGAACAGGGAGATTTAACCTCTGGCAAGCATCAAAAGTGAACAACAATAACAACAACAATTCTTTCCTCTTTCTCACTCCCTAACATGTATTTAGAAATACACAATCTTTGCTATAGGAAGGATGATCAAATACAAAATGTCTAAATCAGTTTTAGGGAGCTAGTTTGGTTATATGTAGTAGTAGTAATAATAATAACAACAACAACAATAGTTGGAAGGGACCTTGAAGATCATCTAGTCCAACCCCCTGCTCAGGCAGGAAACCCTACAACATTTTAGACAAATGGCTGTCTAGTCTCTTCTTAAAAACTTCCAGTGTTGGAGCATTCACAACTTCTGGAGGCAGGTTGTTCCACTGGTTAATTGTTCTAACTGTCAGGAAATTTCTCCCTTATGCCTTTTTAATATAGTTAACAGCATAACCATTCCCCTATATTCTGACAAAATCTGAACTGAAAGAAGCATCTTCTTTACTGCTCACTGCAGTAAGAAATGGACTAAACCTTTGGCATACTTTACAATTGAATGACTTTCAACAACTGTGTACAGTATATCAGAAACAACACAGAAGAACCAGTGCACAATTGCTTCCTCTTCATAAGTGACTTTTGGAAGCAGCGGAATTCTCAAGACTGTCAGTTACCTCTGCATTGAGTCAGGGAAATATGATGCACCAGCAACACAAAACAAAATAAAGGAATCTGAATTTAAACTGTAGTTGCTAAAGATTTATTAGGGTTCCAAGCCCAAGCTCATGAAGTGGACTGCATTTCCAAATGTCGCTACACTACTCTTCGTTCTCACCCCTACAACAGTCTTCAATGCACAGGGATCATCTTTCATCTTCTTTCATACAATGGAAGATGATCATCAGAACTTCATACAATTAAAACCAGGTCTTCCACCACTGACCACCAACAGCAAATGGAAAACGCAGGAGAATCACATTAGACCAGTGGTTCTCAACCTTTTTAATGCTGTGACCCCCCCCCCCAACCGGTCGTAAGTCGAGGACTATTCAACCGGTTGTAAGTTGAGGACTATTCAACTGGTGCAGCACCGTTTGCAGAATGGGACTTTTGGCGGGCTCAGCAGGGCAGAGACAGCCTTGACAATTCCTATTGGCTTTTGAAAGCCAATAGAATTAGACTCTATTTAAGAGAGTCTATTTTACTGGCTTTCAAAAGCCAATAGAATAAAAGGGAGTAGCACAGCTAAGGAAAAGGGGGAAAAAATGGCGGACTGTGTTGTTTGGCAACCCCCGTGAAATGGTCGTTCGACCCCAAATGGGGTCCTGACCCACAGGTTGAGAACCACTGCATTAGACCATATTCCTTCACAGGTAGAAAAACCATTGCTCTCTTTCTACCTCCAGAATTCTTACATTTTTGTACTCTATCCAAAACGATGCTCCAAGCAAGGGATTGGGGGGGGGGGAGGAGGAGAAGAAAGCTGGGTGAGGAATTAAACTCTAGCTTTTCTTTTCCTACCCTCCCTAGTCCCACAGATTTATGGGAGAGAAGGAAATATGTCTGCGAACAATTGGTTAGATTAGAAGAATTAAACAAAGCCCTGCCTTTTGCTGATATATTTGACTGGCTTCAGCTCTCTTCCCTCTCTCAACTCATCAAAAGCCACAACAGTAACAAAACAAAAAATTAATTCTTTTGCATAAGTGATCCTTTATATATTTCTTTCTGGTTCCTTAACATAATCTTTCTCCTAGCTTATTTATTGGGAGCTAGGCCTATGAGAGAGATTTGAAAAGGAGATTGTTTTCTTTTAACAAGCATGATTCTGATAAGCTACTTGAAACATTGGAGGGGGGGGTTCCGCCATGGAAATCTGGGAGGCACATGATTAAATTATAATCTTGAGGACAGCAATAATAGCTCATCTGTTGGGTAGCAAGGTCCAACAGAAATCTCAGAAACACAGAGAAGCACTTCCTAGTGGCAACAGCTGTTCAACAGTGTGGCAGATTACTATGGGAGATGATGGACTCTCATTTTCAGCAGAAACTAGTAAGTCAGTGTTTCCCAAACTTGACAATTTTAAGGCATGTGGACTTCAACTCCCAGAATTCCACAGCCAGCGTTGCTGGCTGTGGAATTCTGGGAGTTGAAGTCCTCATGCCTTAAAATTGTCAAGTTTGGGAAACACTGTAGTAAGCCATTCTTGGGGATGCTCTAAGCATGGTAAGTGTTAAGTGTAAATGTGTAAGTGTGCACTTGGCAGTGGGTTGGATTTTGTGATCCCCAAGATTCCTTCCAATCTTTACATTCCATGATTCTAATTCTATAATCCCCTCTGACTTATCCTGAAGCAAAAGGATAAAAAAAAAAAAAGTTTCTCTCGCCACAGGAAAATGCTGTACATGTTACTAACGGATACAGTTGACAAGGCACAAGCATTCAGGATGCACTTTGCAACTCAAGAGGTATCTGAAGGGTAGTTTAAACACATTCATAAATCTTTGCCCTTTGATCACTTCATCATAAAACCATGCACTAATTCACTACTGCCCTGAGACTGAGACAGGATTCAGTTTCAGGTATCACTTGGGCAAGGGTTAAGTCACATGGACATGATTCAGCTCAGATCTTTGGAGCAAAGTACAGAAGGAATGGCTCTATACAAAGGCCAAGCCCAAGGTATTTACTTTGTAGGAAAAGACCATGCTGAAAAAGAGAGAGATGGCTTGAAACAAAAAATGTATATGACTGAAGAAGTGAGGGGGTTTTGTGTTGCTTTTGTTGTGTCCATTCAGGAACAGGGTATTTCTCATCTTGGAATTAAATACACGTAACTATTGCACAAAGTACATTCACTTCAGTGTTTTGTGCCTAAAAGCTAACAGTACAAGAATAATTGAATGAGCACATATGAAAAAAAAATGTATTACGGTTTACTTCAGAGGAAGAAAACATTGAATTTTATATTATTTAATAAATGGAAGTTTGACAAGAAGGAAAAAAAGCTTATCCATTAGCATATTGTTGTCAAATTTAAGAAAAAAAAAGTCATTTAAAAATGCACATTGGGGAACCAAAACCTTAATCTTCCTTTCATATATAGGTTACATATGACAGCAAGCCCTGCGTGCTACTCTACTCTCATTCTAAGGGAGATGGGTTTTTTTTTTTAATCAAAATGTGATGAACAAATAAATATGAAGCTTAATGAGATGGTAACAACAGCATAGCCAAAATCCCCTCAGAACTGAAACTTACACAAATTTGGGGTGCACAGCTTTTGCACTGTACTCCCTTATGTAAAACAATGCATCCAATAAGCTCAGTAAACACAATTTAGTTGAAAAATATTCAAGGTAACTATTTTTAAGAGGGGCCTTCTCAAAAATATTCATGTGGCTATTTTTCAAAATATAAAAAAATGCATTGGAACAATTTTTCCAAATCTCAGTAAAACACTACAATTAGGATTTTTAATTTGATGGAATGTTCAGCCTGCAACAGCCAACAAAAGTTTTGCTAACTCAAATTAAATATTCAAGTCTTTGTTATTTTCTATGTTTGCCTGTCACTTTATACTGGGTTAATTCTGCAGCATATTTACCTTGCTCCTGTTGTGTAAAATGGTGGAAGTTGCATTTTCCACTGAAAAAGGCAAAGCTTCAGAATAAGGATATACTTGCTGTGAACATTTCTGAGCGTGAAATTCCAATAGATGCAAATTGTATTTGTTTTTCCATTCTGAGGCATCCCCCACAGTTCTAAAATGATCTTTGTTTAATGCATTATCTCCAGGCTGTTTGCTTGACTTGGGCTCTTTTTTCAAATGAAGCAGTTCTTTGTTTTTTTGGAATGCTAACTGTCTCAGGTTCCCATCAGAGAAATATTCCCTCTCCTTTTTTTCTGGATTTATCCCTATTTCTTTCAGCAACGTTTTTCCTTTCACTTCTGCCTCACCAACAGTTCTTTTACAAGCATCATCTCTCGTGCATGAATCACTGATGGCTTCTGTTTTAAGAAGATCAACTGCAACTTTGCTACTCACAAACCGGTCAGTTCTTTCCGTCAAAAACTTCCGTGTAACAGACTTATCCAATGACACTTCCTGGGAATATTTGGCTCCCTCTGTAGAAATCTTTGTTTTGCTTTCTTCTTTTCCACTTTTTTTCTTACTCTTTTCAGGGGGCTTTTCTTCCCATCTCCTTCGAGCACTTCTCGCTAAGAACTTTTTTTCAGGAGACCGTTTTGGAGGACGTAAAGGAGTTCTTGCAGGATCCAAACTCTTTTCTTCTTTGTCAGTCCTGACACATCCATAGAGATTCCCCATTTGGTTCAGAATGTCTCACAGCTCCCCAGATGTTGCCTTTTCATTAGGCTGACCTGAACATAAATGTTTCCAGATAGATACAGACTTTCTGCTAATAGCCTGATTATCTTTTAGCCTGCAACCCCGTCCTCAGGATGTAGCCATCTTGCTTATGAGAAATGCATACGCAATAAATATTGTGGCACTGTTCCCAGGCTGGGCCTGTGTCTGATTAGACACTAAGGCTTATTTCTGGCCACCAATCCTCTTAAGCAAACATCACAGCCTCAGCACTAAACTGGAATGCCAACAGCATTCTGCAGAAATGACATAATATATATCAGCAATAAAAGGTTCTGTGTAGAACTGAACTTTATCTCACTACGAACTGAAACAAAAAGCCAAAACCAGTTTGAAGCTCTTAACCAGCATTTGAGTTCAAGAGCAAATGCCACCATATATAAAAAGACTTGATTCAAAAGATAACTTATAAAACCTGATCATTGTTAATAATGTGAGATAATAATAGATTTTTTCCCCTCCAAGGAATTTTTAAAAATGTGAAGATTAAGAAAGTACTTAATGAGAGTCCAGACAAAAGGATTTTAATATCTGACTGTGGTCCAAACTTCTGCAAGAAAATAATACCATATGCAAGGTTTAGAAAATTAGTTGTATCCTGAATATGTTTCAGGGCACTGAAAGTACCTCCTTGTAGTTTAGTGCCCCAGTATTTTACTTATTTGTATCCCGTATTTATTATTTTCACAAATAACTCAAGATGGTGAACATACTATACCCAGCACACCTCCCTCTTTCGATTTTCCTGACAACAACCACCCTGTGAAATGGGTTGGGCTAACAGAAAGAGTGACTGGCCATAAAGTCACCTAACTGGCTTTCATGGCTAAGGCAGGACTTGAATTCACAATCTCATACTTTTTAGTCTGGTTAAGTTAAGTTCATCTGGCAAGGTATTCTCTACATTAGAAGTCCTACCTTTCACAGAATAACATGAGCATTTTTGAGGTATGTCAGGAGCAACATAAAAATATGTTGAATGCAACACAACAGATAAATGTGTATGATAAAGCAGGCAGAGGCAAGTAAAAGTATGAATGAGTACTGAACGAATGTGCACTGGATAGAAGCATAATCGATCAGTACAAAAGAAGAACACTGAATTGGTTTAGTCATATCGACAGAATAAATGAGGATCAAACCACACAATATATGAAGACTGAATGGGTCACCCTAAAAATTCATCATCACTGCTTAATGTAATTTACAAAATGCATAATGGAAAAAAAATGAGGGCCCAAATATTCACAACAGTCATATTGTGAATATTTTGGAGCCTTCTAGCTTGTACCAAATATTCTGTACAGTAACAGTAATATCAATATAGTGACTTGATAAAGAGAAAAAATACAAAAATTATATCTATATTTTTGGAGTGGCAATAAGCGGACTCTGTAAACCACTTATAGAGGGCTGTAAAGCACTATGAAGCGGTATATGCTATTGCTACATAATGGTATATGTCATTACTTCATTTAATATCCAACACTAAAGACTAAACCAAATACTAAGATACATATTGTAAGCTATCTGAAAAAAAAACTGTGTGTATAGAAAATTAAGAGAAGAAACCCCACTTCAGCGAATCAAAAAATGAATGAAAATTGCTCAGAAATGAAAAGTGTTTTTTCTTGCTGAACACTTCTATTTCTTCAATACTCTAAAAATAATAGGAAGATACTATTATTATTCAAAGAAGAATCATAATACTAGAATTTTTTCCCAGAATATTTTTTATTTATAATATAAGTGGACTCTTAAAAAATACAGGTTAATCAGAAGGTTTTACTTTGTAGACAAGGAATAAAATGGGAATATGTAATCCTTAGGAGGCGAGGAAGAGGCCATCACTTCCCAGTTCATTTAATGTCTCATTCTAAGGGATTGGGAGGAAGAAGTGAAGCAAAGAAGTAAGAAAATATTTTATAGACAGACAAAATGGTCTGCCCAGGAATGTGCTCTTCTGATCTGTAACAGAAACTTAGGAGCTCAGGAACTGAAACAGCAAACAGGATGGAGTTGACAGTTATATATTTATAGTCTCTTTACCTCTGCCTGTTTAAAGTATAAATGGAACTATCATTCCATGCTAAAGCCAACAGGAGTAAGACTCCCTTGGTGCATCAAATCGGCTTCCCTTTAGAAAAAATATCAAGCTTTTGCTTCTGTAATTTGCAGCTAAACTGGCAGGATTCTCCATTGCTTTCTAGTGAGACAAAGCTGCCATTCCCAATTTACAATAAGTACTATTATGTACACATGTACAATATATTCTATTATTCTTTGTTCCAGATTAATTGAACACGTGTCACGTCCAGCGCTCTCACTTCCACTATTCATCTTTCAAACACAAAAAACAGTAACTTCAACAGGAAGACTCAAAAAGTCAGTATAAATTCCTGATTTATAATCTATACTAGGAATTCTCAAACTCAACATCTGGGGATGATTTTATCTCGATTGAAAACATTTTGCCACTTACTTAAAGTGCCCATTTATGTATTTTTTTATGATTTTCCTATTAGATGCACAGCCTAGTTTTGTTCTGGCAATGTTCAAAGCGGCTAGCAAAATGTAACACAATTTTTAATAAAAACAGTTTGCAAATATATGTTAGAACAGCAATAAAATAATTACTGAAATCATACTAACAGTTCAAATCCTGGCAAAAGAGTTGAGAGAGTAGGGATCAAGCATATCTCCCAAGGGAATGCCAGAAAGATGAGACCTAAACCATACATTAAAAGAACCCTTCCTGTTGACCTTAACAACGGCACAGCTTCATAAGAGGAGATACAAACTCATAGAAAGGTCAGAATCTAAGCTACTCAGGGCTTAAAAAGTCAATGCCAACATATTGGGCACAATAGCCAACTGCCAACCAGTGCAAAACTTTCAGTACAGGCATTGTATGGTTCCTGCACCTTGCATAGTTAGCAGCCTGGCTAAATATATGATAGCTTATAAATGTACAAATGCCCAGGTTACATGACAGTTTATTCAATAAAAAACTATTGCTTTTCTCCTTTATAGAATGGAGAGAAAACCCTCTCTTTCAAGGAAGCACTGATCATTTATCTTGACTAGGAATTATACCCATCTTGGATGACTCAATAAACCAAAAAAAAAAAAAAAAAATGAAGGTCAAAATCTACATACCCACTCTAGAACTCTCATTTTCTACATATCCTCTCCACGCTCACATCTTTGAGATCTAGATCCCCCAAAGAATCCATTATAGCAGGATGAGCAGCTACCAAAGTTAGATCCTTATGGCGTGCATCAATACTGGAGACCAAATTTAGACAGAACTGCACCACAAAGAAAGACACCTTTTTTTTCAGACCTTGCTCCCAACTATTCCAGTTCTCTCCCTCAACAATCTGCTAAAAAAAATGCTGCAGAGTGCAGAAGGGAAAAGATGATGCACAGCAGAGAAATGCAATGATGCCCTATTGTGTATGGATGCAACAGAGGAAAATGTCTAAGTCTTTTTTGATTGGCAAGCAGTTCAACTGGGTTTTCATTATTTCATTCACAATAACAGTCTCAAAAATTATTCCACTTGGTTGCAGCTGATACCCCCCCCCCCCCCGCTTAGTAAGCTAAAGGACCTGACCTCCCATCACAAAAAGGAGCAGGGCATCTAGAATTAATGCTATTAATAGTCTGGAAATCAGGACACTGAAAATATTACTAACAAAAGTTGTAAGAAATTGCCCAAGCATATCATCAGAAACAAGCAATTGAGCAATTACATCAAGCAATTTAGCATTTCTCCTCTCTTGCACAGGTTTATCCTGGCCAGGAATCAGGATTCACTCATCAGGAAGCGATCTATCAATGACAACAGAGACACAGGATTCCTCTAATGGACAGAACTTTTTATGTACTCAATCAGACAGGCAAATCTTGAGACCTCAGATTTTGGGGTTCTACAAAAATGCCACCAATTAGTAATTTTTATTGTGAGGTAAGGAGAACATTAAACATGTAAATTAAGAACAATCGTTTGTAATTGTTAAGGTTTGGGACTTCCACTGGGGAAATCCAGGTTTACCCAACCTAAGCCAAGGGAAACCACCCTCTCTTTCTCAGCCCAAACTATGTCACAATTTTGTTGTTACCGTGAGGAAAAATCGGAGAAAGGAGTGCTTTGTACACTACCTTGAGGTCAATATAAGAAGGAGGGATGTATATCAAATAAACAATGAAATTTAATCACATTTAATATAATGTTAAAGAATTCACATTACATTTTTGGGTGCTCCATCACTGGAGCCTTTTAAGAAAAGATTGGACAGCCATTTGTCTGAAATGGTCTAAGGCAGTGGTGGCGAACCTGTGGCATGGGTGCCAGAGGTGGCACTTGCCCTCTCTGTGGGCACACGTGCTGTTGCCCTAGCCTCGCCTCCCCCATGACCCCCTCCTCTCCAGCAGCCCCCCTGAAGGAGAGTCACCCCTGAGCATGGCCCACGCGCAGCCAAGGACATGGCAGCCAGGCAGCGTAGACAAGATTCTGCCCTCACGCCCCATCGTGCACAGTTAATGCTGCAGGGCGCAGGCAGAGGGTGTGGCCACTATAGCACTGCTGGGCTACCTGGGTGATCTGTGGCAGGCCCTGGAGGCGGTGAGTGACCCTGCGGGCAGGCGGGGTGGGAAATGGGGGGGCAGAGCGGGGGAAGGGCAGGGGGTGGAGTGGGGGAGGGGCCAGTTTTTGGGCACTCGGTCTCTAAAAGGTTTGCCATCACTGGTATAAGGTTTTCTGCTTGAACAGGGGGTTGGACTAGAAGACCTCCAAGGTCCCTTCCAACTCTGTTATTCTGTTAAATATAATTTTCTCTTTGGCAGATCTTTGAGGAAGCTGTTGCTCCACTAAATGGCCTTCCTACCCAATTCTGGCCTCTGCCAATTCTGGTCTCTGCTGCCCACATGCAGCATAGCACCGTGCAACCTCCACTGTATAGGGAGGCCGAGGAGCAGATCGGCCGCGTCTCCTTCCTGAACACAGCCTCCTTTCCACACCTTCAGGAAAACAAGGGGAGGGAAGTAGAGCACAGGACGATTTAGGGGATGGGGGAGACCCCAGGAGGCTCAGGGCAGGCCACGTGTAAGCTGGGGAGGTGCTGCAGTGCAGGCCTGGGCTAAGTGCAGGCCAGGATCTCCCCCATCCTGAGATACCGCATGCTCTGATTTAACTACTGCAACAGAGAAAGCTGAGATTGGGGTTGTTAACTGAGGCAATCATTTGGTCACCTCACTTAAGTACTGTCATGACTTGTGGCAAAAATGGGCAGGCTCCATTACATTCGTAAGTTGAGGTCTATTGTAATAAAGCAAACATTGAGAGAATACATGGTAAGAGACCATATAAAGAGAAAGCAAAATATACCATTTCAAAGGTTATGCATAAGCTGTCCTTTCAAACTGCAGTCTAACAGAATTCTATCACTGAAGTTGCCTTCCAAACACCTCTTGTCCAATACCAGGCTAATTGCCACTATTAGCTGAATGACACCAGCAGGTAAAGTTTCAATCTTGCTACTATTGAAATAATAACTTGGCTCTATTATTTGTTCTAAGCTCATAAGCAAACATTTGCTTTTGTAAGTAAAAAAAGAAAAGACAAATCTCTAAATTATGGATCTAGGTACAGTTGCTAAGAGTATGAGGGACTGCCAGATGAACCAATCATTCTGTCCTGGCCTAGATAAAGGAAGACTAGTCCCTTGAAGTGAAATTCAGTAAGCAATTATTCACATATTTGGGAGAGGCGGTGAAAGTATTTCCCCTTTCTAGTTCCTGTATTTCTGACACAAGTCAAATAAATCTATTTATTATATACAATGGAGATAACATAAATAATAAATTAGAAAAAGTTGAACAGGTTGAAGAAAATAGAAGACAGAAAATAAATGGACAGTACTGATCACGTGGACAAATTTCTATCAATATAAGACAAAAACAATTATGCATAGCTAACAAAGAGCCATTTATTCTTCTTCTAACCAGCACTTTATAGAAACATATTCAAAAGCAAATCATTTATAAAGCCCCTGAGTGTATACTCCCTTACTGATAGTCCTTCTTTAGCTACTGCCTTGTTTAGCAACCATTTGCAGTTATGACAGTGATGAAAAGTAACTTTACAGATCTTGGCAGGTCTGTAAAATAAAGGAAAGCTGCTGTACAATCATAAGCACAGTGACAGTTTCACTTAGCAACTGCTTCATTTAGCAACCAAGTTGCCAATCACAATTATGCTCAGTAAATGAGGATGAGCTGTACCTTGGAAATTATGGGAAACTACAATAAGCTATTCCAGCAGCTTTTTCCATCTCAGCTTCACAGAAATTCAAGTAAGCAAATAAGTGGGGAATAGAAATAGCAAATGTTTTCATTACAGACAATGGCTGCACCTGGATCTAATCAATCTAATAACATCCAGCTGCAAGAACAAGTACTACACAGATAATTTAACACAAGGCACTTCCATCTGAAACAATTTACACCATATATTCAAGAAAGGTTTTTGTAGCAGAACCTACATTAATGCAAAAGCAAATCTAGTATATTTTATCATGCACTAAAACTTCCAGTAGAACTTTGGAATACTAGTGACTACTGACTCTAAAAATTCAGAGATGTGAGACAAAAGATAAGGTAACAGAGTAATTGGTCCAAGGCCTAGCTATTATATCAAACTGCACTGGGGACAATATATAACAAAAGCAGGGGAGGGAGGAAATACAGATACAAATGGACAAAGTGAACTCAAAGTTGCCTTAAAGATATGTCTTTCCTTAATTGAAATCAAACTACAGCTGAATTTTACACAGCTTGAGCCTCTCTTTGCCTTTTTGCAATCCCTAAGACTACTACTCATAAATTATCAAATTTAAGTTGCCTTGAATTTTATCTGAAAGAAAAAAAATCAAAATATTATATAGGTATCCAGGAGCTATAGCAGACCAATGTAAAAGGAGATGGGAGAATGGGAAAATACAGTATAAGAAAAAATATACCCTTTGAAAGGCTTTTTAAAATGACAGCTCACTATAATATGACAACTTCCAGAGAGAATAGCTTTTCACATCCTAGAGCTGAAGATAAAATTGCGGGAGTTAAATAACTCTATCTCAAGAATTCTAAGACGATCAACAACTGATCTTTCACCTGGCACTTTAAATCAAGAGCAGATTCAAAATGACTATTCATATATATATACATATGTATATGTATATGTATATGTATACGTATGTATATGGAAACTGCTTCTAGACTTTGTGTTTGAGGTAGAAAAAAAATGAAATTTTGATTTTGGGTTTTACCAATTAGATAGACTTGACGTTATCGAAATGGCTAGTTTATACTTTTATGTAAAAGTATAAAGTTGAGGTTTAAAGTTGACACTTTGACACCAAAGAAAGTCAGAAGTCAATGCCTTTTTTTTCTCCCTTACCTCACTTTAAATGTTCTGCATATTTTTAAATGGCTGATGAAAGCTTTAAAGTGCTACACCATGGTTCCTAATAAATTGCTCGTTCTGGCAAATGAGATCTAAAATTTCAAACTGCAGCTTTCAGACTCTGGAACTGATATCTCACACACACACACACACACACACACACACACACACACAATCAGATCAGAAAAATGTATTACTTCTCTAAATTCATTTGGTGCAGCAATTCTACTGCCACCTAGTGCGATCTAGACACAATCCACATTTATAACAGGAAATGATGGGTATGTCTGTTCTAACAAAGAGAAGGACTAGGGGTGACCTAATAGCAGTCTTTCAATATTTGAGGGGCTGTAACAGAGAAGAGGGGGTCGATCTATCCTCCAAAGCACCTGAAGTCAGGACAAGAAGCAATGGATGCAAACTAATCAAGGAGAAGCATCCTAGAACTAAGGAGAAATTTCCTGATAATTAGAACAATTAATCAATGGAGTGGTTTGCTTTCAGAGGTTGTGGTGCTCCGAGATTGGAAATTTTTAACAGACTGGACAGCCATTTGTCTGAAATGGTATAGGGTTTCCTGCCTGAGCAGGGGGTTGGACTTCACTAGAAGATTCCAAAGTCCCTTCCAATTCTGTTATTCTGACATAGTGCTCATTCCACAATTTGTTTGAAATTGTGGAAATTATGTTAATTATAATTAAGTTATAATTAATGAATTACTCATTACATTCTCTTGAGTGCCTATCTTCTTCTCTCCTGGGCTTCAAAATAAATTATCAGACCCATTTTGCAAAGGAAAAGGCCCAAAAGCAGTATTAGCTTTCAAAAGATAGTAGTAGAGGCAACCAGTTCTATCTGAATGCCTATGAAAATCCCAGTGTATTCACATTTGAAAAACATAGCCATCATTCATCAGAAAGTGTTAATAAATTGAAGGCTGCAACAATGTCAGGGCACCTTACCTGAAAGTGCAAAATTATGGTCCATATTAATCCCAATGTCAATTTAGGATTCCCATCTGTTATGTCATCATTTCGAATGTTCACCAGTTTCACCTGTCATGGGTGGAGGGAGAGAAATGTGCAAAGGAATTAAAACAAATGGAGTTGACAACATGCATTCTTTCTCTTGTATGTGACCAATTGGCTGATTTGTGCACTGTAATTCTAGTTTATTCTGTTGCTTTTTCTCCATAAAGCAGAGGATGCCTCAAGAAAAGGCAGAATACTTTTAACATAGCAAATGATGCTTCTATTTTTGCACAGGGACAGCTTCAGTTGCACAAGAAAGCTGGAGAGTTAAAACAAAGGAACCAATTATATTAACTTTTTTGATTGATTTTATTACTATTACTAAAGATATCAGTATGTTAGCTTTTAAGGGCTAAGATTAGCAAACTCCTAGGCTACAGCCAATTGTCAATGCCATCAAGAGACTGAACAATATCTGTTAATTTGAAAGAGCAGGAGGAAAAAGACAAACTCTATGACTATGGACCCACAAAAAAGCTCTGATCTCATTCACTGCAATGGGCAAATCAATTGTTGTGTTTAAAGCTTCATTCTTGTCTGCCAAGAATGTTGAAAAGGTGTCTGGAGAATTATGATTTCCCAATGGATTGTAGCCTAACATATCTTCATCTATTCAAGATAATCGATGCTGGCTACTGAATAATACTAAATATGGTCCTCAAGATACAGCATTAAGTTTTGGCAGTATTCATCAATCCCTTCTGTCCTAATTTATAACATTTTCCTAGGCCAGGGGTATGCAACCCAAAACACTCAAAGAGCCACTTGGACCCGTTTCCCACCAAAAACAAAACACCGGGAGCCGCAAAACCCTTTTGATATCTAAAATGAAGATAACACTGCATATATCCTTTTTTACCTTTATTATAGGTGTGTGTGTGTTTGTGTGTGTGTATGTGTGTATATGTGTGTGTGTATATACACATACATACATACACACACACAGGTAAAAAAAGGATATATGCAGTGTTATCTTCATTTTAGATGTCAAAAGGGTCTCTCTCTCTCTGTCTCTCTCTCTCTCTCCCTCCCTCTCTATCTGCCCTTGGTCTGCCACTCCTCTTCCCCCACTCTCTTTCTTTCTCTCTCTTTCCTCTCTCTCTCTCTCTCCCTCCCTCTCTCTCTCTTTCTCTCTCTCTCTTTCTCTCCCCCCCTCTCCTATCTGTTGCTCACCTGGCAAGCTTCAAGCTGTTGTCCACAAGCTCAGGAGTAGGCAACCTTGTCTCTTTTATGACTCATGGACTTCAACTCCCAGAATTCCTGAGTCAGCCTAGCTGGGCTAGCTAGCTCTCTCCTGCCTTTCATGCTTTCTGCAGAGACGCAGGAAAGGGAGGAGCTCCGCCCAGTAAGCTTTTCAGCTGCTCAGAGAACACTGTGAGTGCACTCTCTTTTACACATACACACACACAAAAACACAAACACAGAGAGACAGAGAGGGGGGGCAGGGAAGCGCAATTGCCTCTCTCTGTCTCTGTCTCTCTCTGCAGAGGCAGAGGAGGCTGGGAGCCACAAGGGAAGACTCAAAGAGCCGCATGCGGCTCCGGAGCCGCAGGTTGCCGACCTGTGGGCTAGGCTGATTGGTCTGTAATTTCTTGGGTCCGTTTTTTTTCCTGTTTTGAAGATGGGAACCACATCAGCTCTTTTCCAGTCCTCCGGTAGTTCCCCAGTGCTCCAGGATCTTTGAAAAATATAGTTCAATGGTTCTGAGATCACATCTGCCAGTTCCTTGAGAACCCTGGGGTGTAATCCATCTGGTCTTGTGATTTGAACTCGTCTAGGCTGGACAGGAGCTCACTTACCGTTTTCTTACCTATCTTAACTTGCGTTTCTACTCTGTTTTTATGGCATTATTTTTGGTAGGTTGGTCTGTTTTTTTCCCTTTGTGTAAAGACAGATGCAAAAAACGAGTTAAATAGTTCTGCTTTCTCCCTGTTGCTTGTCAACTTCTTGCCACTTTCACCCACTAATGGACCAATCCTTTCCTTCACTTTTTTCTTGTTTTTTACATGTTGAAAGAAGCTTTTTTTTGTTATTTTTGACTTTGGTCGCAACCATGAGTTTATTTTGAGCCTTAGCTTTCCTCACTTCATCTTTGCAGGCTTGGGCTATTTGCTGATATTCTGACTTAGTTATGTGCCCCTCTTTCCACTTGCTATACTTGTCCTTTTTATCTTTCAATTTACCAGAGAGTTCTTTATGCAGCCATGCTGGTTTCTTTTGAGAGCTGTTATTTTTCCTCTTTGTTGGTATTGTGCTAGAAAGTGATGATAACCTTATCTAGAACTGTATGAATTTCAATGAATTTTGAAATAATTCCTACTTCTTCCCTCTGATCTGCTCCCTAAAATCAAATATAGTCTGTTTATTGTTTGCTTCTTTGTTAAAACAGAGTGAACAATATTTAATATTTCAGTTGTTAAGTTATATTATAAACAAATCACAGTAATCAGATTTCTACTATTTATTTCTTGGAAATATATTTTGTTCATATACTTTGGTCTGTTATTACTGCCTAGCTTTAAGTCTCCTACTAGCTCTCACTAGAAGTCTCTAGCAGATAAAGTATAAGGTTCATGTAGAGAACACCAAAGGTGAAATAAAACACTTTAAAACAATGGTTCTTAACCTGTGGTCTGCAGACCCCTAGGGAGGCAATGAGGTAGTCACAGGGGGTCCACGAAGGCTTGCAAAAATGTTATGATTTAAATCTTGAGTTAAGTCTTGGCCTATTGCATGGCCACAAAAGGTATTTAAAGGGGATCTGTGGTGAAGAAAAGTTAAGAACCACTGCATTAAAAGATTTTTTCTATTAGCCCTTTCTAACAGAAAGTATGCAATGATCAATTACACCTAGACAAGCCTTGACGTTTTGCCACTATATTCATGGAATCTAGCAATCCTATTCACAATTACTCAGCAATCCCACCTACTGAGTTTGCCAAAAACTGAGTTTGCCAAAAATTATTCCTAAAGTAAATGAGATTTCAGTCTAAAAAGAATTCACATGCTCTCATCTACAATACTTTCTTTCCTTTTACTTCAGTATTAGAAACATTAGTAATATTGATTTTTCCTATTCTGAAAGGGGGAAAAACAAGACAGGGTAAGATGATGTGTGATTCAGTACATTGCTAAAGAAAAAAGACCGATGAAGAACATTAGGATTTCTAAGGACAGCCAATAAGATTAACATCAGCAATATGATAAGTAATAAATATTTCAAGAACTAAATAACACAGAGATAAAAATGTAGAAGGTATTATTTCAAAAATTAATGTTTCAATTTTGTTTCTTAAATGTAATATCTTACCTGCCGCCTTTTCAAATAATCAAGTGCAATTTGGACATTCTGTAGTCTGTGAAATCGCATCCGTCCTTTCTCTCTGGGCTAAAATCAGAAAAATGGGAAAAATACGAATTTCTATAAAATTCCACAAATATTTTCAGACCTTATATTCCTATAATATTTTAAACATTCCAAAAATATCACTGGAAATTACCAACAACCAAATAAAGAGATCTGCATGAAATGTAATGGATCTGCAAAAAAGCAACTCAAGTTTAAACTTTACGAATGTCCTTTTTCCTCCTGTGGCTTCTTTCTTTCCATGTGATTCATTAATGGATAAAATAAATATAATTAAGGCAGCAACACTGCAACTACCCACCCACTTAGTGCACCAGGATACTCTAACATGATACATGTTTCAATTTCATTAATTTCAATCGCAGAATGAAAAGCATTCCAATTCTTGCCAACTGAAATTAATGGGACTTAAAGGTATTTCATTTTTACTGTTCCTGTAAGCATTTTAAGCACAAATTATGATCCAGCTTACCTCACCAAACCTGTAAATTTCTTTTAAAGTTCATTTAAGCTTAATCAGCATTTTGGAAATATGGTGTGAAACATGTTGAAAGTACTTTGCTTCTGGAGTGAAAAGTGCTTCAGGAGAGTATTTTTTTTTCCTTTTCAAAAAGCTGTTCTTATGGTAATCCCTTTCTCAAACTATCCAGAATATTGAAGTTTTTAAAACTGTTTACAGGGGCAGGCAGGTAAGCTATCAAGAGAAATTATCAAGTAGTTTCAATTAATAACTATATTGAACTTCCTGTATAATTCTAATTAAGTAAATACAAACTAAGTAAAAAATAATATTTGCTGAGACACATCAAAAATACATCAAAGGGATGAATTTGTGAATAGGGAACATTCTACCAGCACCAGTAAACAGCATAATACAGCTAATGTTCAATCCACCAAATCCCAGTAGATTAAAGAACAGAAATGCATTTTGTTTTGACCTAAGGAATTGTGTGAAATGTATACTTTCCATATAGTGGAGATGTTTTTTTAGAAATTGAACTAAAGGAGCCGAGTTTTGTCACCATGATTGTCATATTAACTTCTTCGGAGGGAGGCACTGTTTCGTGGTTTTGTTTGTTTGCATTTTGGGATGTATACTAAGACTTTAAGTAGAATAAACCAGAAAGTTGGTTCTCAAGATACACACACACGGGAAATATTCATGAAAATTTGGAAAGGTATACAGATTTCTCAAGAAAGTTCTTGGATCTGGTTAATATATCCCCATCAATTGTTGCCTTGATATAAACAAATATCAATGCCTTTCAGGAAAACAAAAGTTTACAGATGACCAATTCTGAATGATGTAACATTGCTTATGTTTAGCCATCGAATTACATATTTTTATATTCCAGAATCTTCAGCGCCATCATAAAAATGTGTAATCTTTTTCTTAAAAATACTTACACAACAGTCATGAAGAAAGCATAAGTTATTATAGAAAATCAAAAAATATCCAGCAGATTAATGAGAAACGTGGCAAAATGCATGCAGTTAGTATAAAAATCACAAAAAGGAAAACTCAACAGAGAAAAAGACCCCATTCGCTTAACTACCAGAGAATAAAGGGAGGAAAGTTGCATTTACATGACAAAATATCAATGCCTTTCTTCCCAACTTTAGATTTTTCACAAACCTTTACCATAACGGACAGAGCTCTGTACTATTCCAGCTCAAATGCCTTGTGAATTTTGTAATGCAAGTATATTGTCATAATTGAAATCAAAATCACAAACACAAGAGCTGTTTCACTAAATTTGTAGCAACATCTATCCATACTTATTATTCATATAGTTGGTGCATCTTTGCAAAATAAATATGTGTCCTTTAAATGTTTGCCATTTAATAATGGACATATAGTACAATAAACAGATATCTAGTCTGGCAATTTTTTTATAGCCTTCCCAATGCAGTTCATGGGGATCTATACAAGTTACTGGCACCGCTCACATTATTCTAGATTAGAAGCATTCCCCATAATGCCAACCCCACCATCCAATTCTTTCTAATGAAAATATTGCACCCCATCACACCTGAACATTACTTTAGTACATTAGCAGTCCCCACTCTTCACAAACTGTATTAATAGAGTTATGGGGGTAGGCACCTACCCCCTTATCCTCATCCTCCTCATGCTGTTCAAACGGGCATGCTTCTGTTGAACTCACCAACCGTAAGGTCTTCAAAAAATCTCGCTCCCTTGGCTAATAAACACAGACAGGAGATAGGAGAGCAAAGACACAAGACAGACCACAAATGAAGAGAAGAATATGAACAGAAGAACATAACGAAGGAAGCAAGTGCCAAGCAGAGGAAAGAGGAATGTTCACAATGAAAGGAAAGGACACGATATCAGAGGGGAATGTTAGACAATTACAGTGGGAGCAATACTGTAACACAATTATTTTTAATTAGAAAAAGAATATTTAGCATCCCACACATGTTGGAGAATTTAAAAAAAATCATAAAAATGAAAAGACAACTGCTTTAGAAAAAATAGGTTTTCTAAAGGAACAACAAAAAATATTAAGTTACTAATTATGAGACATTCTGATCCCTCCCCCCCTCCCCCACCTTCCTGTTATGGAAACAATGCATTAAAGAAATGCTGAACTAAGGTAAGAACAAATATCAATTAAATCTGTAAAAAGGTTGCATTAAAATTAAGGAACTCACTAAAGTATCTCCTGAAAGGACTTCCAAAAGAGAAATCAAGTTATGTCCATCTCTCAGATCTTCATACAGATCATTGACATGCTTGCGAACCTATAAAGAAAATGAAATTAAAAGTCAGTGTGTTGTCTCATTCCAGGAGAAATATTTGTATACACTCCCACTGAATGCAGTAACATTTATACTAAGGTAGGTGTAGAAAAGGCTACAGTCTTACTGTAATAAACTGTGTTGCAAAGCCCAGGGAATGCACACTTACTGAGGTCCATCTTAATGTACAGAAAAATATGGATCCCAGAATATAATTTCCATATTATCATCACTTGAAATTTTCATTCCCCCCACAAAGACTTCAAAGTAAAAAGAGAGACTATGGGATACAATAATGCATAAATACCATCTCAGCATTACTGCAATTAGCATAAAAAGTCCTTGAAATTGAGAAAAACCATGCCTATTTGTTTATATGATTAGCAGGTAATGAAGTAAATTATTTTTCTATCAAATATTAAAGAATTTAATATTTATTATTATATTTTACATCTCTCTAATAAAAAATCCATTCCTTAGAATATATGGTTTTACTGTGCTTCTCAAAACTGAAGAAAATGATTGTAGAAGTAAAGATGAAAATTATTGCTTTATGATTTACAATGCAGTTAATTTACTTGGACCCTGAACTAGTCCTTCCATCAATAGTTACCAAGGAACTTACTTACAGACAGAGTGCCATTTGCAATTCCTCCACCTCCCCCCCCATCATTACAGAGAACATAGCAGTCTTCCAGATCAGATTGTTGGGCGCTCTGGAGGATTTAAAGGATATGGGGAATGGAGAAAAGTCACACACATACAGATTTCTACTAGTAGGAGTGCCCATGAACAAGCCCTTTAGTCACACTATGTTTCAGCCACTGGAGAAATTCAGAAACCCAGCTAATTTATTTAATTTTGTAGAGGTGTGTGTGTGTGTGTAACATATTCCAGATTATATATACTTATTATTAGGTGAAAACCATAGCCTCAAAGTATAACCTAACCACTTATTTCTAGGAGCATGGTAGCTCGGGTGGTTGGAATGCTGGGCAGGAGGTTAGCAAGCCCGTGTTTGAGACCCGAGAGCTGCCGTGGGGCAGGGTTGAGCTCTTGTCCTTCACTCCAGCTCCTGCCGGGGACATGAAAGAAGTCCCCAGTTGGGCATCCCCAGGGCAACGGTGATGTCACTGGCTAATCCTTTTAATCTGAAAATGCCTCGGTTCTTCTGACACCAACCTGGAAGGACCTCGATGCTTCTGACACAAGTGCAACTATTTATTTCAATACAAATCTGAAATAATTCATGTATGAGATCCAAGAAACATAATGAAGGGAGTAAGTACCAAGCTGAGGAGGGAGAAATGTTCACAATGATAGAAAAGGACATAAGAGGGGAATGTTAGACAGCTTTCAGTCACATGTGGCCATATATTACATTCCTTGATAATGGTGAAGAGGGTGGTACTAGTTAGCTTTAGTACAGTTTGGTCATCATGACACAAGCACAAACAAATCTCACTTTTACTCCAAGTATGTTTTTTTTTTATTCTATTCAAGTTAGGATTATCTTGCAAACTGGCTTACTGTTGCCTGTAAGTAAGAAATAAACACAGTCTGCCGATACACTTAGAATATACAGCTAAAGCTAAATTATTATAGACCAGAAAAGTGGAATTAGTTTTCTATTTCCATTTAAAACAGAATCTGAGAAATGGGATAAAAATAAATTAATTGTGACAACCGCTTGGCAATTTGAATTTATTGAATAATTATTCCTTCTGATAACAGCCTAATGAATATACAAGTACTACATCCACATGAATATCTTCCTACAACAATTAGAAGAAAGCAAATAAATACATTATATATGTATATATATTTATTTAAGGAATATCAAGTGTAATTTGGAAATATCTCACAGCCCCAATACTTTATAATTATTTAGAACCACATCTGTTTCTGCATTCAAAGTATTTAAATACATACACACAAAAAAAAACATACACACACACACACACACAAAATTTTAAATCCTTTTTCATGGCTTATTTGCCTCTGAATATATATGCATGTATGTATGCTTATAAATTACCACATCTCCAAAAAGGCTGTGAAAAAATAAATATGAGGTACAGAGCTTGCTAACTAACTGTTAATAAAGTATTCAAGGACAAAATGCTTGCTGGCGGTGGTGGTTGGTATAATCCTGTGACTGGTAAGTAAAAGAAAAAGTAGCAGAGCCCTCTGGTTTTATACTTTACTCGTCTGGCAATGACACTAAGAACTTGATTCCCACAACATAACCTAATGCTTCCACTGTTTTCCACCCTAACCTCCAAGACAGAATATGCTATCTATTTATCCATACAGTACAATAAAAATCCTTCACCCAGAGTACAGGGCAGATCTCTAATTATTGTAAAATACAGATTCTCCTGCAAGAAGCAATATAAAAAATTACAAAAACAGTATCAGCCTACGCCAGGAATGTCAAACTACTGGCCTGCGGGCTGGATGCATCACACAAAAAACACGCCCATCCCATTGCCAGCAATGGGGAAAAACTCATGTGACGTCACGCAGTGTCACGTGACGTCGTGAGTTTGACATGCCTGGCCTACGCTGAATACCTATCCATCAAGGCAGAACATGGATGAAAGCTCTTTGGTTTATTGTAGAATATTTGTTGTTCTTCTGAGTCCCTGATTGAGCAAGATCTTTAATAAGAAAACAATGGCCAGGCCTTCCTTTCCTTTCTTCCCTCCCTTCCCTTCCCTTCATTTATTGCTGCTGCTTTTACATTGCTTTTTCATAGGAAGAGGCAAGTTCTGACTCTTATCTATATCTTTAAGAATTAAAAAAAAAATCCTTGTGTATCTTGGGAGAATTTGAAGGGAGGAACATGCTTGCTAAATGCCATAAACAGCATATCAAAGACACTGACTAAGGAAGAGGTAACAGTCAGTAGCATTCACAGATTGGTTTTACGTAAAGACAAAGACCAAATAGGGCTGATCCTCTTGACGGAGCAGTGTTCCCCCACCCCAATGGACCAGCCACTGCTCTGTAAAACTGCTTGCTCCACCTGGTTCAAAAGCCTTTCTCAAGTAAGCAGTTCATCCTTGAAAAAAGAAGTTTTTCCTCTTCTGCTCATTGGGAAACTAATGGGAGACATGAAGCAAAAGATAAAGATCCAAAATCTGATCGAAAAAAACAAACTAAAAAAAATATTGGGTTTTTTTTTTTCTTTCTATACCCACCTCATGCGTAATGATTTGAACTGGTAAACAAGGCAAGGATGCCAACAAAACCACTAATGAAATCCATGGGAAATATAAAGCAGGCTGAAGGAATCTGTTCAATCCCTCAAGGTTTATTGTGAGACTGACAAATAAACTATGTGTTGCCTGGAGCAAGCAGGCTTGTGCAACAGCGATAGCACAGCTGGGTTTAGAAGGCTTGGCAGTTTGGCTGGAGCAAGAATCCCAGCCTTTAGGGAGAAGAGTCATTTATATTGAAGCTGAAGGAGAAGGAGAGGACATGCATCAATAATAAAGAAAAAATATTTAAGCAATGTAAAAAAAAATCCTATAGAAAACAATGACGGCAATTCACAAATGTGGGAAAGATTACAAAGCAGAGTTTGTCCACACATAAAGAAGTTAACACTTAGTTTACCTGGGACAAAGTTAATAGACAGGGAGTAAATATGTACATTTATTATATTTATTAAAATAAAATATATTAATAGAAAAGTATGTCCGTTCTCTTCTAAAGCAACAATAAAAGACTCCTCTTGTTCAGCTCATAAATAAGGATTATCAATGGATCTAGCTTATGATAATAAATGAAATGGCTATGTTAAATATTGCAACAAAAATAGTTTATAATTTAGTGATTTAAGTAATCACTAAATGTTCCACTTTTCTTTTAGAAGTTCAAGATAGTCCATAAAGTGTGCCCTATTTTTCCTCACTACAACAATTTTGTGAGTTTAGGCTGAGACAAAGTGATTGATCCAAAGTCACCTTCATGGTTGAAGGTGGAATGTAAATGCCATCTTCCTTAGTTCTTATTTTGCTCCTAGCTCATGCCTGTCACTTTACTAACTTCATTATACTTTTAATTCCAGCCAATTTCATTGACATAACCAATTTATTTCAAGCAATGGAAAATGGGCTGATGATCTGACTGGGAATCTTACTTTTCTTGGCTATCTTGTACATTTGTGTACTTACACTTCACATTTGTGTACATATACACTTCAAATATTAAAGCAGTGGTTCTCAACCTGTGGGTCAGGACCCCATTTGGGGTCGAACGACCATTTCATGGGGGTCGCCAAACAAGGCTGTCCGCCATTTTTTCCCCCTTTTCTTTGGCCACACCCCTGGCACCCGGTGATGTATAAGTGGTTGGGGGTCACCACAACATGGGGAACTGTATTATGGGGTCGCGGCATTAGAAAGGTTGAGAACCACTGTATTAAAGGCTTATTCTGGGATTTCTTTGAAAGAATTTTTTTGTATCTATTATCTCCTATTCAGAGGAAGGTAATATTTTAAATTATCCTTGGTGGGATGTAAGTAGTGTTCATAGGAGACCTGAATGCTTATCAGGATTTCCTCAAGGAGAAAATGGGTCATCCCACTTCAAATTTTAATATGATTGAAGGATTTCATAGCCAACCAAAAGAATTTGCAAAAATAAACATTATAAAAATGGTGCTGTGTTATCTTTTTTAAAGAAGACTTTGTCAGTTGGTTACCTACCTGAATCAGTAACACATTATAAGGGAATATGTATATATAAAATTATGTTGTATGATTTTAGCTTGGCATATTGTATGAACCTGTTGTGATTTATAAGCCACTGTGAGCAGTATACTGCAAATTACCATGCTCCAAACTCAGCAATATATGAGCTTCATTATTAGATTATTAGATGTATGGGGTTCAGACTAGGCTATCCACTGATGATCATCTGATATTTGATTCAAAGCTGGAAGAAGGAAAAAGACTTGCTATTAATATTTTTGTTTTTATTTATTTGAAAAT